CTTTAGTTGAGCTGTTTTAAAATACTGAGTTATTTTCAGTGTACCAGATCATATTATTGAAGCTCTGAGTGTGCTGGTATTTGCTAGCTCTCTCTTGACTGGAATGCAAAAGTGAGTGTTTCCTGGGTTTTATTTTTTGTTTTCAAAAGGCAGACACTGTATATTTCTCAATTAGAGGACAATCTCTGCATGATTTAGAAACTAAATATGGGATGTTGCAACAAAATGACTGGTTTTTTTTAATAAAAAAGAAAAGAAAAGCTTTAAAAAACTGTTATGAAGCATATAAACTCAAATAATTGACTTGCATAGAATTAAGTTTTCTAATTCCTGCTTGTCATAAAATTTTAGCCAGAGCTGCTTTCTGTTTTATTGTATTTAGACACTAAACAGTTATTTGGAAGCATAGGAAATTTGCTCTTTGGGATGCAATGAAGTGAAACTGTTTAAACTTAAATCTTGATGAAGTTTTCAAGCCACTGGTGTTCAGTGCATTGTGTCTGTCATTTTCCTCTCTAGCAATTAGCACAGGTTCATGAATGTACGAATAAACTTGTAGGTAATGATGTTTTGTCTTTTTCTGCTACAATTGTAGCCATCATTTTTCTCCTGTTTCATCCTGTCTGTGCTAAAATCTGTAATGAGTTTGTGTACCATCAACTAAGTCTGTGACAGAAGCAAGGATAGAACAGAATCATTGATTACTTTGACCACAAGGCCAAATGTTTCATTTTTTTCTGTGCTTCTTGCTCTCTGTCATCCCATGCTTTCTGGCAAAGCAGGCAGTAGTGAAGCTTGAGAGAGAACAGTCACTTTTGATTCAGACCCGGATATCTATCCCCAGAAGGGTCTGAAGGAGGTTACACTGGGATTCATTCATTTCCATGGGGGAGAGCGAAACCTCATGATCTCACATCCCACAAGCCTGAAGGATCCAAGTGAGATGGGGAAGAAGGAACAGATACTTGAGTCTGGGCTTTCCATAAATTTTCCATAAATATTCTTCTTATCATGGTGTCTGACACATTACAGACATTACTTCTTTTTTCAGTTTCTCTTGAACTCTGAAAACACTGAAAAAAATCCCAATTTAGTTCCTCTAAGAAGATGGAATCTTGACATGTTTTGCATGAGGGGAATATTGTTTGTTATGTGCTTTGCAGTATGAGAGTATGTCATTAACCCTTCTACTCTCCTGAGCTAAAATGAGGCTGTTCCACAAGCAGACAGATGCTGGGATAGGTTTTATTCCTTATGTTAATTGAGTTAGGTATTAACTGTATTTGTTTGCCAGGTGCTGAAATCCATCACTACAGAAGACATGCACATAATTTCAGGCATGTGCCTCAGGGATGACAGTAGGAATTATGGATTGGTTGGAAATATTATCTTGAGTACTGATGTTTTTTTCAGATCCTAAGAGTTTCACTTCATGCTTTATGAAAGCATATTGTGCAGAGAGCCATTTCAGGGGAAGGCTATTCCTATTTTTAGTAAAATTCCAAAAAAGGGAAGCAAAAAAGAGACGGAGGCTTCTGAGCATATCTGCTCTCACTACTGCACCATCAGGGAAAGGAAGAGCACAACCAAATGTCTGGAAGCTACCAGCCTGTATGGGGTTTTTCCCCTTTTTGCTTTATGTCCCCCCACTCAAAAACAAGCTCTGTAAGAGACAAACCTGCCTTTTAATGTTTATGTTGTTTCCAGGAGGCAGATTCATTTAAGGGGGAAATATCAGTCCTTTTACTTCCAGGCTGATTTTCAGCATCAGCCCATTTCAGTGTAAATACCAAAAGAAAGAAAAACCATCTTTAAGAAAAAAAAAAAATGCAGCAGAAGCAGACTTGAGCTAACATTTCCAAGAGGCTCAAATATTTTAATGAAAACAATCATTTGACCTTGTCAACTTTGAGTAAGCTTATTAGATTTTTTCACTAACTGTCTCCAGCAGTCTTTAAAAAAAAAAAAAAAAAAGTTGCGTTTCAAAGAGATGTATAAGATGAGGTGGTATTCTTAAGGAAGATCTAAGAACAGTGGACTGTACCCTATTAGCCAAGGAACCCAACTACACAGAGCCAGAGACCTGTCCTTGTACTCATCCCCTTCCACCCTGCCCCAGCCTTTCATTTCTGCTCAGGCCTATTTGTGTCTGAAAAACGGGATATTCAGCCAGACCTTCCAGCAACCCTTGGCAACCTGCATGTGTGATGAAGTCCAGTGACAGTCCATATATCCTCAGTTAAGTGAATGTAATGTTCTGGTGCATATAAACTGAAATTTAAACCAAAAAAATTGTACTTCCATATAAAAGCAGTGTCCTAGCTGAATAAAGTGATGAGTTCATGTTCTCTGCTTTGCTTCTATGGAAATCTTCACTGAGGTGAGAGTCTTTTAAACTTGCTTAAGTGTAGTTTTTCCTGTATGCATGCATCTTGCCTACTAACTAAGGTACTGCAACGAACACACAGTGCAGGCCAAGATGTGATATTTGAGTGAAAATCATACTGGATTGAGGAATTTGCTTTTTTTCCTGAAAAACAGCAACAGTATCTGCAACCCAAGATGGCACTTGACAAATGGTGCTTCTTCATCCTTATTGCTCTTTGTTCATATCAGGCTTAATGGAGTGTGGAAGCAATCAAATTCCTGTCATGGTAGCTTGAATTAAAAGCCACAGCAGCTCTGAGAAGAGACTCAAGAGCTACTTCATTTCAGTTTAGAGAAAAGCAGAGAATTTGATGTCAAATACAGCACACACACAAACAAAAATGATATAACTGAGTGAGTTTACGTGGGGTTATGCATCTAATGAGTAACTAATGAGTTATTTCCATTAACAGGGATGTTTAAGAGCAGATGAGAGGCCAGACTCTACAGGCCTTCCAGCTGGCACCTGATCATGTACATAGTTGCATCCATATAATGTGGCTCCAACCTGAAATAAGAGGTTCAGCTCAGGGTGTGACCACACCATGCCAAAGAGGAAAGCTGCTCTGAAAACACCACTTGCTGCCTTTCCTTGTACAACTTGGGCAGGAAAGAGGATGTAGAAATACATTTGCTGTCACTTATCACAGCAGCCAGGGTATGTCACTCTGTTGGTGGCCCAAGAAGTAAATGTGTCCCTTTAATGAGCAGTTGTGCTCACTTTAAAGAGGGTTATGTCCCCATGGAAGATGTGGCAGGACAGATACCTTGCTTACACCCTGGTAGTCCAGTAATACTGGGAACAATGCCTCACAAGAACTCATCTAAACCTTAAAGTAGTTCTGCTGGGCTGGCAGCTGTCAAAGAAAGGCTTCTTTGGGAAATACCCAACTATTCTTTTTTGCCTCAGCAATAAGTACTGTGAGAATATCCAGCCTCTCCATTTTTGTGCTTCTGGTTGCTACAACATCAGTAAATTCAGAGCACAGCCAAGCATACTTTTAGGGATTAAAAATGGAAAGAAGGTGGAAAGAAGCGTTTCGGTATTCACTGCATAAAGTTCTTAAGAATGAACTCAACAACCACTGTTGTTGACAGCTAAGCCATTAGATATTTTTAAAGTCATTTGGTCTTTTCACATCCTATACCATATCACCTACTATCTCCAGTTACTCTAAAAAGCAATCTGTCTGTTGTTTGAGCTGTAGCATTAGACTTCCACAGTGGTTTTGCAGCTCATGGCTTCTGAGTTTCATGGAGCATCACATGATGTGATCCAGGCTATCATGCACAGCTTGTAGTTTGCTGCAACCAAAAGGCTTAAAAAAAAAAATAGTTTTTATTTGTTTAGTGAAATCAGGGGGATATTTTGCTGCTCATTGTCTTTCTAATTTGAAATAACTAAATAAAATAAAAGAATGGACCAAAAAATTCAAAACTTTTGCATCTGCTATGACTGTCACTGGGCACCTCTGTATAGTCTGCCAGATACTCAAAAGCACTTAGCACATGCTGCTTCCGTTGGAGGCAATAACATCTTAAAAGCCAGACTACTTCAATCATGCTGCCTAGTTGAGCATAAGAAAATAAGAAGTGTTCTTTCACAGCAGAGGCCATTCTCTGACCAGGATGCTTAGAATAGCAGGCAAAAAGAGAGTGCTGTAAAAGGAATGAACTCCTTCACTTCTGGAATTCAGTGGTTTGAAGGCATCCAGACTGTTGTGTTTAAAGGCCACCACTACACATAACTCCTCTGAATTTGTCCTTTTGAACCTGCTTATGTTTCTGTATTATAAAACATTACTTGTTTGTGAAGGCAGATTATGGATGTTATATTTAATTTGCTGTTTCTCTTATGCCTGCTGTCTGGTAATTTAATTGGGTGGCCTCCTTGTTTTGTGAAAAATAGTTAATAGCCATTTTCTACTTATGTCTTCTCCACTGTTCTTCTACTTACCCTGCTCAATTTGTAAAACATTGTCTTCCAAAAATTTATGGGTCCAGATTTCAAGTTGTTAGCCATATTTTTGTAGATATGACATTTTCTTTTGAGAATATAATAAAAAGTTGTCCCTGCTTAAGGAAGAGGTTGAGGTGGATGGATGGTGCTAATATTTACTTTTGGTGTATTGCTGTTTCTTTGCAAGCTCACAAGTGGTATGAGAAGCAGAACATGGTGTTAACTACCCTGCTTTTAACTGAGATCATTCAGCATTGATTGTGCTGGAAATCTGAGCAGAAAGTCAGTATGAGATGGGTCTTGGCCCAGTGTTTTCACCTGTTAAACTGCTATAAGGAATGGATCATAACAGATCATGGGAAAAATGTAGAAGATTTCTTTGATTCTTTTAAAAGTTTCAGCTTCAACTGTGAATATTCTGATGATCACCCAGGATAATAAAAGTGCTTTTAAAGGCATTTTTAATTCTTTAGTTTAATATGTTGAAAGAACGTATTATATTTTCAAGTACCAACTTTACTTTGCTATGGAAGTTTGTGGTTAGTCTGGTACCTTGCACAGCTCACCTTTGAATTCACATGGTTTGTTGTTTGTTTTGTTTTTTTTTAACTAGGTGAAGCAACAGTGAAGAAGAAACCAGCTCCAAAGACTCCTCCAAAAGCAGGTAATTTCTGCCACCCACATTTAGCAATGCAGCTCTTTGCCTACTAAGTTTGTTTGAATATGTGATTAAATGGTAGGTAAGTCAAACTTGTTTACACTGTACAAGAATTAAATTATAAGTGTCCAAAAAATACTCTCAGATGGGCTATAGCAAGAGCCTACAAAGTGTCAGTAGTGTGTAACTTATGCCCTTTTGCACAACAAACCTTGGCTTTCTGTGAAAGGAATTTTTCTGTGTATCACAGAATCCTCTGCATGAGCAGCTACCACAGAGAAGGTAATAGATTGTACTGTTCCTCATCACTGGCGTTATGGTAACCTGTTTGTGTGTTTGCAGTCTCCAAGGCAAAGCTATCTATACTAAAAGCTACAAGGAAATTTCCTCTATGGGAACCTCTTTTCAGTGTCTTAAAACTTCATCAGACTTTTAAACTGTTCAAGCTGCTTTCTGTGCCAGATTTACACTTCAGCCTAGTTTCCTTCAGATATTTTCAAAACAAAAACACTTTTAAAAGGTCAAGACTAGAGCTGAAGGAAACCCACTTTGTTTTAATTACTTTGAAAAGGAAAATAAAGCACTTTTTTAATGCACAATAGCCCTGTGCATTGTAAAGAATGTTAGATTTGGCAGTGAGGTCATTGTAATATTAGGGAATGCCTCTTACCATTTCTGTCAATATGTCCTCAAGTCTGCCCCCTTCCTCTCCAATACACACACACAAGAATAATTTTTTTATCATGATGTTTTTATAATCAACAGTATAGGTTTCACCCTGGAGTTGTCTAGCCTGTGATATTTCTGGCATCTGTGCTTAGCAGCTACCAGAGGTCTGACACTCTGAGCAGCACAGCCAAAAGCCAGGAAGGAGCACTGTTAGCAGGAGATGTTCTGCCATCTATTGATACTCAGGCAGTGAGAGGGAAGAGAAGGAGGAATGCCTGATTCATTAATAGGGGGGAATGAATGGGACTGCAAGGTTTTAAGGAAGCACCGTGGTACACAAATAAAAAGATACATCATCACTCATGGCAAAATTTAGCTTAATGGAGGAAGACATCAGTTGCCTTCATTGTCTCTCATGATGTTTCTGTGCCACATAATGTTTATCTGGCTACTGAAGCCAGAATCCTCATAGGTAGATCTTGAGTCTTAAATGTTCTGAATTCTGTTGATGACATCAGGGAGCAGGTTTGCAGACCCCTTCAATACATGCAAATTGGTAAGAAGGTAGCTGGAGCCATTCTTCAAAAATACAAAGTTCAAAACAACAAGATTTTCTGAAAAACCCACAACAAAATTTCATAAACTTTGTATTTGGACTTGATGGTAGGTGACAATGTTTTTGTCTTTTGTATGGTTGCACCTTGGTCTTGAATGAGCAAACTTTGGATGGGTAAATTGTTATTGCTTCACTCCCCTAGAATTAACAAATCCACAGAATTTTTTTTGTTGCAAGCAACAGGTAACTGCTAATTTGGATTTCAAATGCTGCTCTGAAACAGCTGAGCTGAGAAATGTGTTTGAATTTTAAGAAAACTTACAGTAATTTAAAGGGATATTTTATTTTATTTTATTTTCAGGAAAGTCCGTGCAGGTGAATCAGTGGAATTGTTTGCCAAGGTGGTAGGAACAGCACCCATAACTTGCACCTGGATGAAATTCCGTAAGCAGGTAAATTATTTTCTGCTCTTTGCTCTTCTAGCAATCATTGAAAAAGCAGAGCTGGAATGACTATCTCCCATTTTTCCATCTCCCTTCCCAAGAAACTGGCAAAGTTCTTTGAGAAAAGTCTTAGATTATAAATTAAAGAATAAGTGATGGGAAAGATAGAGGTATCTGAAAAGTATCTCTCACAGGGGACAGTGCTCTCCTTTGAAAATGGCCTCTTCTTTGTTGATTCTGGGTCCAAAGTTATGTCAGAGGGGCAAAATACCTTATAAAAAACTTCAGTGAATCGTCTTGCAACAGAAATGTCACCACACAGGGCACAAGAGCAATCCATGCCATCAGTGCCCTCACTCCCTAGGTTAAAATTCCTTCTACTTGAATATCTTCAAACTATATCACATAAGGGCAGTGTCTAAAGGGAGTTGCTTTAACAAAGCTGTTTAAAATCACTTTAAATCAAAAAACTGAATATGCAAGTTCAGACTGGAAGATGAAGTGTCACGTTAGGACAGAGAAAATATAAATATCTATTGTAGCTGCTGTTCTGTTTATTTTGTTCTGAACTTGTTATGCACTCTATAGAACACAAATAAAAACATCTCCTCCTAGAAGGAAGTTTAGACTCTAAATCCAGACATGTCAGCATTTAATTGAAAGAATTCAAAACAGTTTGTTAGTGCAAAGGGTATTCCAGAGTCCAATCCTTGCTAACTCAAAATAACCACTTACTTTAGGGGAAAGGGTGGCTTTTTTCTTGAACTCTTATATTTCCTTAAATTTCTTTAGCTTCAAGACTAGAGTTAACCACTGCTTTCCACAAAAAAAAAATACGTCTCAGAAGCTTCAATGATGCTGTGTTAGATTTTGCTAAGTTCTGTCTTAACATTTAGGTAAAATGTACCCCTCAAAAGTGAGTTTCTGTTTTGTGCAGAATTCTGAGTTCTTTGTTGAATACAACAATCTTATTTACCTAGATTTTAAGGCCTTTTTTTATATGCAAGATCTATGTGATAACTAGGAATAGCAGCTCCTAATGCCCCTATCAGATCCAAGATATTTTCTCCTTTGTAAAATGCTATTTTTACCATCTTTAGTTTCTTCTTTAGTTATCCACTATGAGACAAAGTGAAGTATTGCAAAATCATAAGTTAAAATGATAAAAATGTTTAAATTATTGATTCTGGTGAATGAGATACAAAAGAAAAAAAAAATACAGGAGGGTTACCAAACACTGCAGGAGGACAAGTGAGGGCAGCAGTCTCTCATTTATTAATTTAAAAGGGGAGCCACTTACTGCATCCTGTGCTGCACCATAATTTTGCTTTATTTTTCACTTTACCACATATTGTTTTATGCTTGGATTTCTTCCTTTTCTATAACTGTGGTTGATTTCAGCTCTGTTCCATTCCCAGTCCTAAAAGTGAAAACCAGTCAAGTGTTTTGACAATTTACTGGGAGTTATTTGTATTTGTTATTTGAGCTGATCCAGCAAGTGGTGTTTTCATCCCTGCTGCTGTTTGCTGCAGCCTCCTCTCCGTGTTTCTTCCTCTCATTCCCTCAGGTGCAGGAGAGCCACAGTTCTGCACAGGTATATTCCAAAAGAGTATCTTTTGCTTGAAGAAAGGGAATGTCGTGAATCTGTGACCCATCTGTTGGTGTACTGTGGCAGTGTAGTGGAGGGGTGCTGGAAGTGTGCTAAAGGGGGGAAAGCCTTGGAAAGCCTTGGAAAGCCACTTCATTAGCTGAGTCCATCACTGAACACTGCCAGCTGTTGAAACTTCTTAACCATGACCAGTGACTTTCTTTCAGCACCCCAAGGTTCCAACCTATGCTCCCCACAACCACTGAGCATCCTTTTAGGGCTATCTCTTTATCCTTTCAGGGATATCCCTGTATCCCTTCAGGGCTTTCTCTGTATCCTTTCTGGGCTTTCTCTGAATAATGCAGATCTAGTTCTACTATCACCCCTTGACTAATTTTAATGAAGCAAAACATAAAAGACCATTTAGAATCTCAGATGTATGTCAGCAGGGTAGAACAACTTTCAGTATAATTTAACCCTACAAAATCACATTTGTTAACTTTCTGTATGAGTTACTGTACGAAAATCTTTCTAATGTTACTTTTGAGCAGATAGCAGTGCATGTGTTTTGTCTCAGTTGAGGAAAGAGCAGGGAAGGTCCTGTTCCAAAAGTTTTGATTTCTTCTCTGAATATATGGGACAAGATAAGGCAAGCTAAATAGCCTTAATTTTTAATTAAATTCTGAGAATGGCTTGGAAGAGTCACTTATCTAAGAAGGAAGTGGTGGGAGGAAGAAGGGCATTGACATTATGTTGTCTGTTTCATAAGAACACAGTGTACAGCTTCTATAATTGCAGTGTAGCATTATGAGGATTTTAAAGAACTGTCATGTCTCAAGCTAATGCTGATTAAAATCTAAGTCACCTTGGCCATTTATGCTATGATAGCTCCGTTTCAATTAAAAAGTAGTTCATAATATGCTTATGGTACTCAGCAGAGATTTGGATTTTTGCTTCCCCAGAAAATTAAAATGCTATGGGAAAGCTCAATCTTCTCTTTGAATCTCTGTAGAGATGTAGTGTTGTATCACCATTTCTTACATTGTCTTCAGCTGTTCAAACCCAAGAAACTCTTACCCTGGTTTGTGTGGAAGTACAGAATAAGCCTGGTTAAAACAAGAGGGCAAAAGTCACAGCGATGGATGGTCTGCATGTTGGGCCTCTGAGGGGGAATGGCAAATGAGCTAAACCTTTGTTCCACTGCGGTTTCTCTAAGATATGCGAGACCAAACTTTGTTCTTTTGACAATTGCACAGTTTGCACTTTCAGCCTGTCAAAGAGAAGTGAAAAAGTGACACTCCTGTTCCTAAGTGGGGTTCCAGCAACACCAGTGCTCCCTGTGGCCTTTGCAGGACTGGAGCCATTATAACGTTCCCCTGCATTTCTAGATGATTTGTGTTGATTACAGTTTACCAGCTACACAAACTCACTTCTGTAATAGAGTTATCTGCAGACAACGCACAATATGCTAACATTGTATTGTGCTTTGAGCTCTTTCAGATAGAAAGAAATCTATCACATTATTTTTCTTTTTATTTGGCAGATTCAAGAAAATGAATATATTAAAATTGAGAATGCTGAAAACAGCAGCAAGCTAACAATATCATCAACAAAGCAGGAACACTGTGGATGTTACACCCTAGTTGTAGAGAACAAACTTGGCAGCAGACAAGCACAAGTCAACCTTACAGTTGTTGGTAAGTCCATAATAATACTTTATTTATATATTTATTCTTCAGACATCAGTCTGCATTTGCATTTTATATAATGATATGCAGCAGGTTAAATAATAATCAGTTAAGTTAAGAAGACTGAAATAAAAGCTAGTATTTAAAAAAATTGACAGTGATATTGTAATAAGGATTATAAGCAAGCTCACTAGGGCTGTACTGTGTTTATTTGGAAAAATTCTTAATTCCATGGTGATGTAGGTATAAAATACATAAAATAGCTCATACTTAAAAAAAAAATACCCCCACAAGATAAAAACAGCTCATGTCTCCATTTTAAATTCCTACCATGGTACTGTTTCACAGGGACAGAAAACAGTGAATAAGGACAGTCTGTTTTGAAAATGGAGCCCTTTATTGTGGGCTTTTACACAGGTATCTTAAGGCTTCAAACAGCCTTGTCAGGTGACCCTCCCAGGCCATCAGATTTGTTGTAGCAGACTGTGGACAGCTGCACACAGATGTAGGCTGGCAGATTGTTGCAGTTTATTTGCAGATAAAACTGCTGCCTAGTGAGGAGCCAAAATCTAGATCTGTGACACCTAGCTCTGAAAGGGCTCATGAACCCACCTTTGTGTGGATGCACAGCAAAATGCTCCTGGGAAATCCAGGGAAGATCTACAAGCAAAGATGTGATTTGGTAAAACATACATCTGTGGGCTGGGTCTGTTTCTGGGCTCTGTCACCTGTGGCCTGCAGAGGGGTTATCACTTGAGGAGGTGCTCTGACAGCCACATGGGTGTGAGGAAGGCAGGAAATGTGGGTGTAAGGCCAAAGATGAATGTCTGACTCCAATGAAACCAATGCAAAAATACCTTTAACCCAAGTTGGACTGGAGATTCATTCCACCAATCCAGTGAATACCATACAAAGTTTAATTAATAAAATCACACTTTCAGGTACAATATCCACTGAAGCAGACTGAATGTGACTTAATTGCACGTTGCTCTACATATTGTCAATAGAGGCTTCCTAGTTATTTAAATTAGTTCCTTTCATCCAGTCTATGGCTTTAATTGCAGTTAAAAGATAACTGAATGGATGAGTATAAATATCAAGTAGATTCCAGCAACATGCCAGAGGGTTCAAGAACAGAAGAAAATAGAATCAGTATTTTTCCCATGATGCATATATAAATTGTACTACCCCTTCCAACAGTGGGTTGTACAAGTCAGAAGTACAGCTAGGTTAAAAATTAATACCACTGGTCCTTGAAAAAACATATATATTGGTCTGGGTATAGGTTTTGGCTGCAAAACCCCAACACAGCTGATTAGCAGCTGGAAGAATGGCAGGAGATTGATTGCTTTACATTTCCCTCCTTTTCCCTCTTTCCTAGGCAACTGCTGCAGGCAGCTAATCGTAGCAGGTTATTGGGCAAGGTGGATTTTTTTTTAGCTGCATAAGGCTGACAATTCCTATTATCATGTTACTGTGTGGGCCTTGACTTATTATTATATAAGTCACTGGTTTATATCCTTTGGAGTTAATTGGTTTGAAAGTCTGTGAATTCTATAACCTTATAAAGCTACATCTCAGCCTCCTGCTTCACTCTTCTCTAAGACATGTGCCAGAGAGCCGTGGGATTCCCAGAGATGCTTTTGGGAGAGTTGGGTGAAGGATCCTTACAATGTACAGTTTGCCATGTGTATTGGCTGATGACAAGCTCTCAGTTTCCAACTAAAAAGAATAAATTCCTTCTTGTAAAATTGCCAAGCTCTTCAGTGAGACATCTCGCTGATGTCAGCACTGCCGAAGGTATGACAAGGCCTCACGGCTCCTAGCTTGCTGCACGTGCATTTTAAGGCCAGATTCTTCCATCTGGGCACTCAAAAATGTGGGAAAAGGGAGCAAAAATGTCTTCCTTCTAGGAAGGAGGTTAGAATCTCACTACTGAGATCAAATCCTTCACACTGTTTTCACCTTTAAAGGTGTCAAATGTTCACTGAAGTTGGAAGGTACTTTTCTCTAAAGCCTGTCAGTCAAAATAGGGAAGCTGTGTTTCTCTGAATATGTAAAACCAGAGCCTTCTGAGTATACCAAAGCTCATCCTTAGTCCTGAATTCCTGCCGGTCCATCCCCTCTGCTCCATCCCAAGTACTGGGAAGAAACTTGTCCTCCCTATCCTGACCCCACTTTCATAACAAACATTGGTGGAGAAAGTCCTGGTGCTAGACATCAGCTTGGTTTGCCTCAGCCCTTTAAAATAAGGCTCTAAATTCTGTGTGAGCTACCTCCCTGTAAATTTACTGACAAAAGGCACATCCATGTGTGTATTTTGTGCTCGAAACGCTGCTGCCTGACCACACTGCACAACCGAGCCTTGAATGTGTTGAAACTACAAATACAGAACATTTGTTTTCAGGAGTGTGTCTGAGCAGACCCAGAGCTGCATTTCTCGAAGGGATAGCTAACAGACTTGGCTCTTCTGAATTTTAGCAAATCAAAGACATTTATTAAAATACAAAATGAAATAAATATGGAAATAATGATATATTTATTTTATTATTACCCCTTACCATGTAGATTTCAAAGTCTTCATGCTGATGGCAAAGACTCCAATAAACATTTCTCAAATTAAAGTTGGATTGTAACACATGTCAAGGAGCAGGTTGCCCAGCAAAGTTGTGCAGTCTCCGTGCCTGGAGGTATTCAAGTTCAGACTGGATAAGCATCTGAGCAATCTGATCTGACCTTATAGCTGATCCTGCTTTGAACAGAAGGTCTAAAGACCTTCCTGAGGATATTTAAGACCATCCTGGATCTTGCTTTTATACTTGCAGTTGTCAAAGACCTTTCTTCACAAAATAATAGCATTATTGACTTAACCTCCCATCAGAAAACAAAGGGTTGAGCTTATCTGCCAGGATTCAAATCAGAAATGATCCTGCTGTGATTTAAACCCTGAGTCTTAGATTGTAAACTCTATCTGAATACAATTTGTAGAAATTATTTTTAATAATGACATTTAGGGAAACAAAGATACCCTGCATTCCTCTGAATTTATCTCCCAAAGTCTTAAATTTAACTGTCAGACTCAGGCCTCAACTACAAACTTAACTGAACTGTGCAAGGGTTCTGACACTTAAAGCATTTAAATAGTTTATTATTTCCCATTTTCCATGGGAAAGGATGCTCTTGAAAGAAGCCCAACTTCATTCTAAGGGGTTTTATTTCCTTTAATGAATTTCAATGAACAAAATGTCCATTACACTCAGCTTCCAGTGTGAGCTGTGTGCAGTCTACACAGCAGATGCACTGATACATAAACAAGTTCCAGGAGACTTTTTAAATAATGCTGTGGTGCTGAGCACACAGCACTCAGACACAAGGACTGAGCCTTGTGATTCCTTGTGTAGCTCTGTACAAGCACTAATAATATTGAGAGACCTGCAAGTCTGTGACACATCCAAGTTAAGCAGTATCTTCTTTTAAAGGGCTGATTGCTCCCAAAATTTCCATGTTGAGCTCTTCTCTATTGTTATGATCAGCTCTCTTAAATAAGCAATTTCCTTAGCTGACTGATCTCTCTAGGGAGATTTTGTAACATGTTTCTGCTCCAAAATCGAAACAGCCTGATGTGAGATTGAGCTAATGATTTATAGCAGACAGTGTGTCAGATGGAAGTGGACTTGTGCTGCCAAAGCTGTTGAATGAGCCAACAACGAGTTTAGTGTAAAATATGACTTATTTAGGCAAGGTAGAGCCCCCACTTTACAATAATAGCAAGGAATATTCATTCCTTTCATGACATTTACTGGATGTATATTGATACAGTTATTAAATTTATGATTCTGAACATTTTAGCTGTGTGATAGCCCTGGGTCTGTGACCACCTTTGAAGAAGAAACTTGGTTTTCCTACTGGCTAAAGCTGGGTGCTATGACAGAGTCAGAAGAATAACACAATATTCAACAAGGGTATCTGTCTTTAGAGAAATAATCTGTTCTGCAGCTATGCCACAAGCTTGCCACATGCTTTTGGGCATATTGCTTCATGTTTCCATGCCTACTATGCAGGGGCTTTTTGATGATCAGTGTTTAGTGAATACTTTGGATATTAGTGCTGTCTTTTACTTATTTAAAGACAGAAACAAACCTACTACCTAACTGGGGGCTGATTTTGACCAACCTTGTTTGTCTTTTACAAATCCTTTGGGATTTCTACAGTTCCTGATGTGGTATTTTGTGTGCATGTGTATTACACACACATAGAAGTATCATGGTGATTAGTAAGCTTTATGGTGGATATATGCAAAAGAATGAGAGCAATGTCATTAGTCCCTGAGAAGCCTAAAGTTAAATGTAAGTGTTTTTATTACTCTCAGCTTTGGTGCATGTGCTGTGTTTTGCAGCCTTCTCTGCTACTGGAAAGTGGTAAACCAAGTACTCAAGGACACACACACACACAAATATATAAGCATGTCGCACACAGGTATGCAAGTGGTGTAACATGAATTCAATACCTACTCCTCTGATCCATTCCATACTTGACTTGGGATGAGGATACTTTCTGTGAGGATGATGGTGTTTCTATGCCTTTAGCAGAATCTGTGTGAGCACAGTTTTACCAAGCACAAATGAGAAAATAGAAGTTTATTTGAGAACAAGGTCTTATCATCACTAACTCCAATAGTCATTGAATGTAATGGTAGGATTATTAATTGCTGCTATGAAGGGCTTGGTTCTGGTTCCACGAGTCACATATGTGCAAGCTATATTAGCATTTATTTTCTGCCCTGAAATTCTGTTACAAGGAAACGTGGTAGCAAAACTCGCAGTGCACAGTGACCCTTTCAGCAGGATAAATGCATTGTGGGAGATCCAGAGGAATCTGGCTCAGTGCTCACCACTCAGACAGAGAGGACCCAGTGGTCAGGGTTCTGTGTTCCCTCTCTGGAAAAGTTAAGTGCAGACATCTGGGAAGCAGACAGTGAACTGAGACACCATAGACATTTTGACACTGAG